ACTCGGCTTTAGAGCCAAAGAATCAGTCTCACACCACTCTTTAGTCTTTTATTGTGTTTAAGGTTAATGGTGCTAGACCTATATAAAAAGAGTGGTTAAAGAGAGAGAGTGGCTAAAGAGTGGTGTGAGTCCGATTCTTTGGCTCTAAATCGAGTTCACATCCCAAACTCAACTGCCATCTGTTTTTTTAAATACAAAAAATTTTTTATTTATATATATTAACATCGTTTTCAGCAAAGAACGTGTTAGTTATATGCTTTTAAGTGTCCTTAACTTAGATGAAAGACTTTTCAAAAGAATAGCTTTGAAACAAAAATAGGCAAACTCAAAGATTAACTTTCAATTCGTTGAACTTGTGTTTCCAAATAAAGCTCTAGTTTAAACGCTCGATCTAATTTAAAGCCCGGCAAGTGCTTTGGTTGGTGTCACTAATTAAATAATAATAAGTGACAAAACCTGGAATTTGAGCATTGAAAGTTTGTGCAGCCTTGGCTATTTGTGGATAAACACGATTAGTCATCGCTTCTAATTTAACAGGCACGAGTTCCAAGCCTGGCACTTGCAGTCCGAATAAATTATATACGAACTATAAACTAATTAAATAAAATTCGATTATTTGCAAAGACCACTGATGAAGAGTACTTGGCAATACTCGAAACAGCGTTGTATGGTCAGCCAAATTTCAATAAATTAAAAATAAAAAATTTTTGTCTTTGTCCTTTCTTTGCTATTCGAATCCGTCTAACTTTTAAATTATGTTTTAAATTTCGGCACAACAAAAAATATCACATTGTTAATTGTTAATTGTGATATGACTATTTATGATACGACATAAGAGCGTGAAATTTTAATGACCGTTCGTCATATGACTGTCTATACAACATAGATGTCAGTCAGATTTTATTTATATTGTAACATATTATAAAAATGTTTGTTTCCTGTTATATAAAAATACCCACATTTTCACTTAAAGTTACAGATTAGACAGAATATTAAATATGACTATTTCCTGATACTATCTATTTAAGATTTATTATTAAGAATTCAGATTGGCATTCAAGTGCAAATTGTTAACACTAATTAATAATTAGTTCATTGTTTTAAAATATCTAACACAAAAATTTTAGAAAAAGCAAATATATGAAACAATGACGTCGGACTGTACACATACCGACTACATCGCCCATAGAACATTTAATCATTAAAATCTAGTAATTAAGCACAAAGAGGGAATACTTGGCTAAATAATAAATATTTTCACGCATCAAATAAACAAACTTTTTGCTAAGTAAAATAAGAAAATAAAGTCGTCCGAAGAAAAAAACTTAACCTGCCTGCTGCTGCAGAACAAAATTGCTCGACTTTCCAACTGAACATTAAAAATCATCGCACTTGTGAATGAAGTGAACTACTGAGAATCCGTCCCTTTAAATATGCTATTTTGTTGTTGTGCCTTACAATAATATTTACTTAATTATACTTCTCTACATTGATATCAACAAACAAACATATATCAAAAAATAGGTTTTTTTTAACATTTTGTAAATGTACAGTGGCTGCAGATACCCGCCTTTATTCTTTTTAAATTTTTTTCTTTTGTTTATATAGCGCTTCCCGAGAGAATCAAAACAAAGAATTTCTTCAAGATTTCTTTTAAACTATAGTGAAAGAGACTAATCATATGGTGCTGATATCTCTTCGTTTCAATTTAGATTTTCATACTACAGTACCGGACCCTGATGGGAGGATGCCATGCTCAACATTTGCTTGATGGCTATGTTGTTGATAGCAACCTTTCAGTTTAAATTGGTCGCGCACCGAGTAAGTGACTGATTGACTTGGTCTAAGAAGCAATCTGGCGGAATATGTATAGCACCTAACGTCGGCTAAGTGTATGTGTGTGTGCGTGTGTGCCGTGCAGTGAAATTTAAAAATTAAACAATAAGTTATTTCTTTATTTATTTAAATTTTGCTTGACACTATTTTAAGCAAACCTAAAGAATTTTTCGGTACGACTTCGAATGTGAAAATGTATTATAATAATATTTTACACTAAATGTTTATAGATAATACCTAATGTCATAAAAAAAGTGAAAATAATAAGAAATACTCAACGTTATATACAAAATATTTTAATAATTTTTACTTTGCATATTAAAATCAATGTAAGGAAAAAATATTTTGACAATTTTTTTATATATATTATTAAATATAATATATAAAAATGCTTAAATATATAATACATAGAAATGTTTAAATACATAATATATAGAAATGTTCAACATATATATATATATACAGTTCTAACATATACTGATTAACTGCAACTGCAGAATTTATGTACAAAATATATACGAATAAATACCAAAAATGATTTATTTATATAATTTACGATTTTATGTCAAATTTATTATTTATAGTGCCTGTTAGTTCTTCTAATTGTGGATCATTATTTTGCTCTAAAATATATAAATAAAATAAAAATATTTCAAAAAAGTAATAAAAAGTTTTCAAAACTTTTATGATGGATCGATATTATTAATTTAGTAGACAGTGAATATCGTTAATAAAAAATAAGTATTAAATATCTGGAATAAATAAATAAATAAAAAAGAAATTAAAATAAAATATGAAAATAATAATATCTAATATATTAGTTAATAAGTTAATAAATATATCTTTATAAACTTAATAGGTAAATAAAAAAAAATTATAGTGAAATATAAAAATAATACTATATAACACATTATTAAAGTTAATAAATATGTCTTTATTAACTTAATAATTAAATAGAAAAGAAATTACAGTGAAATATAAAAATAATAGTATATAACATATTATTAAATACGTTAATAAATATAAAGACATATTTATTAACTTATTTAATAATGTGTTATATACTATTATTTTTATATGTCACTATAATCAACTTAATAAATTAACTTAATAAATAAATAAAATAGAAATTATAGTGAAATATAAAAATAATAGTATATAACACATTATTAAATACGTTAATAAAAATATCTTTATTTTAATGAAATTAAATTACACTCCAGCCACATGCTCTAGTAAGAGTTAAGGGAATATAATCATAACGTTGAACCATTATCTTTGTTATTAATTCAAAAATTTTTAAAAAATAATTATTTTCTATAAAATCATCCGCACAGATTTTCTTTAGAATTATATACATTTTCTTAGTTTACAAAACATTCAACACTTCAATGCAGTAAATTTAAATTTTATTATCTATAAAAATTGCAATGAATGCAGAAAATTTTATATGATTATCTGAGCATATAAATTATTAAAATTGCTTACACGTATTTCTTTGTGAAATAATAATGTTAAAGGTTTAGTTTAGTATTTCCAACTTTTATTATAATTTTTTTTTTATGTACAAAATACTAATTAAAAATAAATAGCTAATAGGAACAGTCTTCCTCATAATATACAAAATAATTGCAATTATTAAATACATATTCATATATATAAGATATATAAATATTTTTTTTATAAAAATATATTGCAACGCTTGAATATAACTTGCATATAAATTGGATTATACAGCTGATTACATTTATATACAATATAATGCATATTTCCTATTAGAATGCATTCGCAATATAAATGAGTAAAATAGCAAGACATTATTTTAATTATATTAGTTTTCTTAACTCAATAATTTATCAACCCACTTCTCTCAACAAAAGTTTAACCCACTAATAAAGAAAAAGATGGTAGTAATACAGTGTTATATATAAAAGTGGTTTTCAAATATATAGAGTTGGCTGTATTAGGTAGAGAATTAAATTTATTATACATTTAAGGTTTTAGTTAATCGTTGCATATATATTAAATTGATAGACGATAGAAATATTAGCTTCCAGTGTTGCAAAGCAATACGATCATACAAGATCAATCTTTCGTATAACAACTGTCACTAACTGAAAAGATGACGATTGCGCCAGTTTTAGAATTATATCACATTCCGTATTTCTGAGCACACGAATCATTTTTTTTTGTAAATGTCTTTTGTTGGATATGAATGGTACAATCCTAACTATGTGTTAATTTATAACTATTGTTAAATTGTACTTGATAGATGTTAATTAAGACATGTGCGGGTTTACTAAGACAGTATTTAGCTCCCATACACTCAAATTTGACAACGGATTTTGGTAAAGTTAGCTATTTCAATATAGTTTACTTTTTGTATTGATTACATTAATAAAAACTACACATGTCATCAGGTGTGGAGTAGTATATATCATTTTCATATTATTACACAAACGATGGTTACATTAATCCCAGAGTTACAAACAAATAAGTGGAGCATTCCGATTTTTTAGGCCCGCCAATTTGACAACGGATTTTGGTAGATACAGCTATTTCGAGCAACTTTTTCCAATACGATATGTGTTGATATAGTTTACCTCTTAAGATATCGACGTTTAGAATTGTTAACATATTATATAGACCATATGCAATTATATAGTGTATGCAATTTTTTATATAGATTACGCAAACAGCGGCTAACAGTGACATATGACGTTTCTATTTTTTATTGGTAATTCTCAAGAATTTACTAAAATTCCTTGCGAAATACATATTGCAGGGGAATTAAAATCATGCTCTGTGTTCAATGGTAACTGCTGTAAGCATATTAAGTAAAAATAAAAACAAAATAATTTTTTCGCTTTAAGTCTCTAGTTAATCCAATATCTGTTAATATAAATTCGACGTACTGATGCAGATACTAATCAGATTTATCAAATTTCTGATATACGGTTATATCTTGAAGATACTCAACATAACTGCTTGTATTATCTGAAGTCGATAGAAAATCTAAATTATAAGCCATATTAGGGAGAATTTAACAGTGTATATTATATAA